GTCATCTAAGTTTTTTTCTGTCTTACGAGCTTATCCTCGATGTTTTTATATGTTAGCTTTTCTACCAAAACTTAGTATGGGCTTTTTGTTGTGATTTCTGAAGCCAACTTAGAGAAAAAGTTTGCTAATTAATTTTTTGACCTCAATATTTTTTTACCTTGACTTTTTTGAAACCAGCCACTAAAGCCAATGCCTTATCTAGAGATTTTTTAATTTTATCCTCTCAAGCTCCAAACTCTCTAATTATTTGGTCAACCACTAACTGAAAGTCACTATACATGATTATATATTCAATGTTAAGCTTGGTGGCTAACCTTAAATCAACTATTAATGTCTCAAATTTTGCCTCATTATTAGAAGTCTAGAACTTGAATATCAGGCTATATGGGTATTGCTGTCTTTTTAAGTTGATAAAAATAAGATCAACTCATCCACTATGGTCTATGGCTGAACCATTAACAAAAAGCTTCCAACTTTTCTTATCTAAGGTATCTATTTTTCCTCAGTTTATTTTTCATGAAAGCTCGAGAATAGCTCCACGATGAAATCTGCCAGCACCTAAGATTTCATTATCGACTTAGGTAGAATGTGCAAGTTGAATTCGCTAAGCATTATATTCTATTTGATTAGCCTTTTCGACATTCTGAGCTTCTGTAAGATCTGTCTCAGTAGTTAATCGATCAATACATAGATTGCATGGGCTTAAAAATTAGCCTGAGTTTTTTGGTCAAAGTGATAATTGTATAAGCTAACTTTTCTATACCACTGTAGTTAATTTCTAGCTCTATTAATACTTTGCTCATAAAATACATCGATCTTTGTTTCTCTTCTTCTTTCAAATCAAAATTGAGCTGATGCTTTGGTTTACAATGGCTAAGTATCAGTATAAGATTTTGCCAGACCTCGACTTAGATGGAATGGATGGAGAGGATAAGAATTCTTTAAGTTCTTTAAAAGCTTTTTTATACTGAAGAGTCCACATGAAATCAAAGATATTTTTGAAAATTTTGAAAAATGGCAGACATTGTTTTGTTGACTTGGACATAAATCAACTTAAGAGAGCTATTCTATCGGTTAATCTCTTTACTTTTTTTATCGAGGTAAGCACCTTTATGTTTAGGATTACTTGAACCTTTTCTAGGTTTACTTTTATTCCCTTTTTGTTGGTGATGTAATCAAGAAACTTATCCGACATGACTCTAAAAATACATTTACTTGGGTTAAGCCTTATATTATACTTTTTCAAAGTGTTGAAAGTCTCTCTAAGGTCTTTCAAGCACTTAGTCATGCTCTTACTTTTGACTATAATGTTGTCTACATATACTTTTATATTGTGATTGATCTAATTTTTAAACACCTTATTTACCAACCTATGGTAGGTCACCTCTACATTTTTCAATTTAAAGGGCATTACCTTGTAATAGTAAAGGACTTTTCTTAGTAATAAAGGGTGTCTTTTCCTCATTGTCCCTTATTATTTTGATTTGGTTGTAACCAGAATAAGCATCCATAAAATTGAAGAGGCCATGCTTGGTATTATTGTCCACCAGTCGATTTATGCTAAGGAGAGAAAAGTTATGTCGATTTATACTAAGAAGAGAAAAGTTATCTTTCGGGTAGGCTTTATTCAAGTAGGTAAAGTCAAGACATATCTTTTATTTTTTGTTATGTTTTTTTACCATGATCAATTTGGCTATCCATTCAAAATAGTAGACCTCCTTGATAATATTTGCTCGTAATAATTTGTCAACCTTTTTCTTGATTACTTGTTGTCTTTTTAGGGTAAAAGTTTTCTTCTTTTGTCAAACTAGTTTTACCTCAAGATTAATGTGCAGCCTATGAACCATTACCTTGATATCAATTTTAGGCCTATCAAATGGTGTCCAGCCAAACAAGTCAGCATAATCTTTTAAAAATTGAATTAACTTATCCTTATGTTGAAGTTTAGTTTCGATCTGCATTTATTTTTTGAGGATGCCATCTTAGACTGAAATTATTACAAGATCTTAGACTAGCTTAGGTCGATTTTCATTTGAGTTTGGCCTTTGATCAATTATCTCTTTTTGTTTAATTAGGTCAAGATCATTTCTTACAAAATATATCCCGACGTGATGATTAGTATATTGTGGATAACTTGCTAAATATGTATGTAGTAAAATTGGTTTTGTATTTTTTATTTCATACTGTATTTTGGTCAACGTTTTAGCTCAATCCAAATGACATAAGGTTCTTTATGCCAGCTTAAAAGCTTAATCATCTTTTAAGTTACCTAAAAAAATTTTTAAAAATAGAACAAAAGTTTTTTTTTTAATTAAAGCTTAAAAGTTCAAAGCGATTTAAAAGCACACTTCTATCAAGTCAATCTTAGATTCTATGTTTTTGCTTGCGACTTTCTATTTTTTATCGATTTTTGCTATTTGCCCCTTTTCAGTGCTTTCATTCTCAGTCGAATTATTAGTTTGCTTCCCAATCCTTCTTTTTATTATTATGACATAACACTAACGTGCCATGGACTAGTTTCCATTAACTTCTCTAACCCATTGGGTGATGAAAATTTTACTTTTAGATAAAAAGTTGATCCTAATCACATAATAGACTGGCTAGATCAACCCAATATTATGTTATAGGCTGATAGGACATCTACCAACATAAATTCTATGATTTAGGTAATTGTTCTGAGTTCTACCCTTAAGGAGATTGGTAGTTTGATTGCTCATTTCATAGGCTCCTATTCATTCTTAAATCTTACCAATGTTGTAGTAATCGACTGTAACCAATATTTACCAATTCTCATCTTCTTCATGGTGCCGTAGTATATAACATCGATCGAGCTTCCACTGTCGAACAGGATTCTTTTGACTACATAGTTGTACGTTACAGTCGTAATTACTATAGCCCACTGCCATGACCATGCTTGGGTTGGATTTCTTCTTGACCAAGGTAAAGCTATCTCTAATGATCACATTAATCACTTTGACGATCGGCCTATTGTTATTAGTTTGGCTTTTTTTTTTCCTAGCTTCATCTTTTGATTTTTTTCCTTTTTCTAGCCTTTTTTCTTTACCCTAAGTGGGCTCTCTTTGGTATTGTTTATAATCTATCTTGGGCTAGCCTTGTCTTCATTACTCTACAAAGTTTTTCAGCTCACTTCTCCTTATCAAAGCTTCAATATTATTTTTTAGGTCAATGTAATTTTTAGTATTATGGCTTATGTCCCTGTGAAAGGCACATTTTTTAGTCAAATCCCTCTTTGTATTTTATATCAATGGCTTTGACAATTTAAGGCTGGGATATTTTCAATTTGCATTAGAATCCTCTCTTGAGAAGTATTCCATGCAGTGTAGCTTTTTTTTTCACTAAGGTTTCTAGCCCAATGTTGTCTCATTCTTAGGGAAAGATCATAAAAATCTTTACCTTTTTTATGACTAAGAAGGGGGGATAAGCCTCTCTCACCTCAATTAGTTTTCATTGTAGCTTCAACTTATGTATTTTTTAGCTATCAATAGAACGTTGGTAAGAATTTCGGGTGGTTCTAGTGACAAAGTTAACTTTATATGATACTTTTTGTCATTGAATCCACTTATCAAAGTGGCCACAACTGCTATTTGCTCTAGGTCTTTAACCTGCAGAGTTTTTGCTTAAAAACATGTAATGTAGCTTTTCAAAGATTTATTCCAACCTTAGTGGATCAACATCAAGCTTAAAGTTATTTTTTTCATTCTTCGATTACAGATAAATCAAGATAACAAAAAGTGGTTGAACTCCTTGAACATGGTGGTTGAACTCCTTGAACATGGTGATTGACCTCAGTTATAGACTATTGTACTAGGATTAAGTTACACCCTTCAATGTGGTAGCTATGCCTTTATATATTAGAGTTTTGTTTGCACTTTGCATCATCGTGTTAGTCCTATAAAGTTTCAAATGATCGAAAGTATCATCATATGTTTTTAAAGTCGACATTTTAAATCTTTTGGAAGGCATGGCTTTATAAATTTCTTTAATGAAGGGTGATATCTCCAAGAACTTGAGCTCATCTTCAAAAGCTACTACTTTCATTTTTAGCTCTTTTTTCATAGCTTGCATTCGAGCTTTTAAATCTCTATTCAGGTTGAAGTTCAAGGTTTATTTATTTGGATTTTTAGGTCATAGCATATGTTGAGTTGTGGTTGGGGTGTTGGTGGATTGGGGTGGTGTACTCCTCTTCTTTGAAGCCTAAGAGGCTTCCACCTATTCATGGCTCGGTTGTCTGACAACGATTCCTCAGCTAAAGGGGATTAGGTTAGACACTTTTAAAACTTACGATGGGATTATGGTTTGTAACATCTGCTTGAAAGCCTATATATGTTCGATCAATGCTTTGAATTGTTCCATGGTCTGTCCCATTTATGGTTGAGCAGGTTGGATAGAATGTTAGCTATGATGGGTTTTTGTTCTAGCTAAGATGGTTGTTTCTCTTTCTTCTAAAGTTTTTTTCCTTGGCGGTATTATTTTGTACTCGACTAAGTAGTGAAAAAAGATTCCTTACCTGGCACGCCAAATTTTTGTACTAAGCTCTGACCTTAGGGCATTCCTGAAAAAACAGAAGAGACTGGCGATAAGAGGCAAAGGTAATGTGTGTTTCTTGCATTTGTATTTCGTCACACAGTCAAATAGAATAAGGTCAATAAGGAAGTAGGAATAAGGAAATGAGTCTTAAATCCACTTATTTTAGTGGTGTTTAGATTTTTATATTTATAGGTAAATAATAAGAGACCATCAAAGGATAATAAGAATAATACTGAATTGATGTGATATTAAACATATCAAAACGATATGATATGTAAGTCGACGCAAATGACAATTATTTTTTATTATGTACTGAAAGCTTCTAAGAGAAAAAAAATCTCTATGTGACCACCAAATACCCCTAACTCTGATGATACCTGAACCAGCACTTAATCTACGGCTGAGAAGTGATTTCAATGATCGCCGGAAATTGCTCGTAGCCCTCCACTTCTCCATTTCAATTTTTTATTTTTTATTTCTTCACCGGTTGCGGCCGTAATTTCCATCTAATCAAAATCTTAACGATTTTCAACAAAAATGACCATAATACCCCTACTCACTTGCAGGCAAAATAAAATCGGAACTTGAGCCTTGGACTAAAGACGCTGCGTTTTGAGCCTTCCCGTTCCCCCTATACCTATCCAGTATATGTGTTGGAGAAAGGAATACTGAGCACTAGCACAAAGAAAGTGGTTCGATGGCCTCCATTTTGAGCCAACCTGGCTGCTGCATCAGAATCCATCGACGATGCTGCGTTAACACTCTAAGATTCTTCTCTTTAAAGCCTTTCGCTTCCCGTTCCAATTCTCATCGCCATTTCTCGCAGAAGCCGATCAGAAAGACCTTCGCTCTCCGTGTTTCCAGAAGCTTCTGTCAATCTCACCACTTCCTCAACACCGGTGCCCCCTCTCTTCATCACTTCATCGCTCAAGCTTCCCTCACCGCCTCTCAACCATCGCCTGAGTAAGTCAAATACTTTATTTCTTCTTAAAGGAATTGTTTTTATTCATGGAAATAATAAGTTAAATATACAATAAAGAAATAAAGAAATAAATAATTTTTTAAAATATCTGATAAATTTCATAGTTTTCTTCTTTGGGTTTTTAGTATTTTGTCTAGCGATGCACCAGTTCCGGAAGTTGTTTCAAAAGGTAGAATTTATCACGAAACTTATGGATGTCAAATGAATATAAATGACATGGAAATTGTGCTATCAATCATGAAGAACGCTGGATATAGTGAAACTGTGGAAGTTCCTGAGAGTGCAGAGATTATTTTTATTAATACTTGCGCGATAAGGGACAATGCGGAACAAAAAGTCTGGCAAAGGCTTAATTATTTCTGGTTTTTAAAGAGGCATTGGAAGAGTAATGTGGCTATAGGAAGATCACAGTCGTTGCATCCTCCAAAAGTGGTGGTGTTAGGATGTATGGCTGAAAGGCTAAAGGATAAGATTCTGGATGCTGATAAGATGGTTGATGTGGTATGCGGTCCGGATGCTTATAGAGATTTGCCGACGTTGTTGGAAGAGGTTGAGTATGGTCAGAAAGGGATTAACACTCTTCTTTCGCTTGAAGAGACATATGCGGATATTAGTCCTGTTAGGATTTCAAAAAATTCGGTTACGGCATTTGTTTCTGTGATGAGGGGGTGTAACAATATGTGCTCCTTTTGTATTGTTCCGTTTACTAGAGGTAGAGAGAGGTCTCGTCCTGTGGAGTCTATAGTGAAGGAGGTGGGGGAGCTTTGGAAAGAAGGTGTGAAGGAGATAACACTTCTTGGACAGAATGTGAATAGTTACAATGATGCATCTGGAAGTGAAAAGGAAGTTGAACCTGGAAGTAATTGGGCGTTGAGTGAAGGCTTTAAAAGCATGTGTAAGGTTAAAAACATGGGCTTGCGTTTTGCTGATCTCTTAGATCGTCTTTCTACTGAGTTTCCGGAGATGAGGTTCAGATATACATCCCCACACCCTAAAGATTTTCCAGATGAGTTGCTGTATCTGATGCGGGACCGCCATAATATCTGTATGTGTATACATCTGCCTGCACAAACAGGAAGTACCACAGTTCTTGAAAGAATGCGTCGGGGATATAGTAGAGAGGCTTATTTAGAGCTTGTTCAGAAGATACGCAGAATCATTCCAGATGTGGGAATAAGCAGTGATTTTATATCTGGTAAGGTTTTATTATGTTATTTTGGTTTTATTATTTTGGTTATATACTTGAATTTGAAACTTAGGCAGTTGACCTTTATTTTCAAGGATTGACATCAATTATTATTTATTGTTAAAATTGCTACGCTGCCCTAAAAGGTAACCCTGTTGAAATCTAAAATCTTCCATAAGGATTCTAGATTAGTGTTCTACAATCTACATTGCCTGGCATATTACTTAAAGCCTAAATTCACATCAATTTCTGGTCTTTTACAAAAAAGATTGCAATAACCAGATGTTTGATTATATTGCCAACTAGGATATTTGATGTTGAACCTTTTGACCAAGCTTATTGCTTTTTTAATTAAAGTGTATACTAAGGACCAAAAACTTCTTTCTTACAAAATTGAGCCTTGCTTATTTTCATTTTTCTTCATTTGTCCTGCCTAGTGGGGTGAATCACATGTCTTTACAGAGAGCTTATTGGTTTCTTTTATCTATATCACAAGGTATCGTAGCTTTGTCTTCCTTGTTTCAAGTATACTTCTATTGATTAATATGCAAATTGCAAAACACATACTGTCTTTTTTTTTTTTGGGAGGGGGGGAGGGAGAATGCCATTTCTGCAATAACTGTTGCGGTCGAGGTGTCTGTTTATTAATCAAGTGAAAGGAGACCCATGTCCATAAGCAAAATTAGACTTGTACCTTTGTGAGACTGTGAGCCAAGCTCATGCTTCTTTTAGAAGCATGCTTTGTTAAAGTAGGAATTTAAGTATTTCCAAGCATGCTTTCTGACAAAGAGCCTCAGATTCCATGGTTGGTAGAGAGCATGCTAGGCACATGTGCACCACTGATGAATTGTGGGTAATTAATATTTTTATCAATCTATTACGAGAAAACTAAAAATTTCTATTCTCTTGTTTGTCCATATCTTTTACAAAATTGTGCCTAGGGAGTCTAATGTGGCTGTTGGTATTAGATGATCCGAAAATTCCCTACTGCTAACACATTTTTACCATATAAGGATGTTAGCCTGCAGTTATTGGGTTGCGCTCTTATTATCTGGATTTCCTTCTGCAGGATTCTGTGGTGAAACAGAGGAGGAACATTCAGACACGCTAAGCCTAATAAGGACTGTTGGTTATGATATGGCATACATGTTTGCATACAGCATGAGGGAGAAAACTCATGCCCACAGAAACTATGTAGATGACGTTCCTGAAGAAGTCAAGCAAAGGAGGCTTACTGAACTTATTGAGGGTTTCCGTGAGAGTACTGGTCAGCGCTACGACTCTCAGGTGGGAACCATTCAAGTTGTGCTGGTTGAAGGACCAAACAGGAGAGCTCCAGATACAGAGCTTATTGGCAAAAGTGATAGAGGCCATAGAGTTTCATTTGTTAATCTTCCTTTGCTAGATCGAGATGATCAATCGGATAACAAAAGGAATCCCATTGTTGGTGATTATGTAGAAGTACATATAACAAAGTCTTCAAGAGCATCACTTTTTGGAGAGGCAGTTGCTATAACTAAATTAAGTACATTTTACAGCCATGTGGAGGAAGCAGTAGTTGCCTGTGGTAGCTGAAGTTGAAAACCAGCTGCCTTTTACTGCTGTGCGCGCTTTAGGTTTTGTTTTATTTTTATTTTTTATTTTTTGGAAAAGTTGTTTCCTTTCTTTGCCATGAAATTTCAAACGGTTTCATACTTGTTTCGTAATGCTAGAATAGCTTATTCCCGTCTGTAGAATAGACATTTATTGCTAGGGGATTAATAGCTTTAGTTGCCAAGCCATTGATTTGACGTAAATGTTGTCTAGGTTGGTCCTGCCAAGAGAAGGGTCTGAAATTTGCTATTTGGAGCTTCTGCTTCAAAATTGCTAAGAGTTGCTTTTCTGAATTTTTTTTTTTTCAGAATGTGGTAGTTACATGTCAATAACGAATACCATAAAGAAAGGATGAAGGCAATTGTCGCTGCGGAATTTTCTTCTTTCCTTTTAGTCTCACTCTCCATTTTGATTCCGGCTGATTCTAGAAAGTAGAAATTGATTTTTAGGCCCTACTCCGCGCCCCCACCATTACTACGGTTAGCTGTTATTTGAGCCTGAAAGACGATGACGTTTCTCTACCTCGTCTGCCAGAGCACAAAATTATCGTAAACTGATGTTGACATCCAAATTCTCTTCTATTTCCATCTTTCTTTTACATCCTTTTCATAAAAGCGGAAAGGAAGAATAATTATATTTGTATTACTACATAACTGAAATCAAGATTGGAATCCAAAGTTCTTCATGATTGCTTTCTGACTCAACAGGAAGATTATAGGAAAAACATTTACTAAAAATGACCCTGTGGCATATATGCAGCAAGGTATCTACTTGGTTTTCCTAGTGTTGGCCTTCTCATATGATTGAGAAAGAAACATAATTTCACTAATCATAATAATCAAGTAAAATTGGATCAAAGCACACACTGCACGTTCTCCCCTCTTGCCAGCCTCCGTTGTCGTTTTGTACTACACCCACATGGTTCACATGCAAGAGAGCGGACCACTTTTTTTTGCTTCAAACTTGCAAACCCATGGGCCATGGCAAATGGCAGCCATCCATCGAGAAAGCCAAGGCAAAACACTTCAACTTCTTTGTTGGGTCATAACTCAGAACAGTTACCTCAAAAGACGGTTATACTAGGGAGAGTACTGAAGAATGATGAAGACTAGACGATGATCTAGTTTTATTCCCATAAACAAATAAAAATAAAGGGGTTGAAATGCAAAAGAAAGAGGCTGACAATTTCGGCACCTTCACTCTAGGCCCAGTGGGCTTCCCCCCATGAATTCTAAAGCTTGGGAGAAGATAATACAACAGTTGACTACACTGCTTTTAACTTACATCTGAACTTTTCAACACGTTGGTAACAAGTGTCAAACCGACATGGATTCATTTTCATGGTCCTTGCTGAGATAACTATGAATTTAATGAGTTAAAAACCTTGCCAAATGAGATCAGATTCGTTACTTAAAAATAATCAAAAGTAGCTAAACAAGAACATTAATTTAGCAGATGAAGAAGAAGAAGCATAGCAGCAACGCCTTTAACCCTGACCTACTCATTTTCCTCTATTATGTGATGTGAGCCAAAGCAGGAAGGATTGGTACATCTCTATCTAAAATGGACAGAAGACAAAACGAACAAGCGTGGAGCATTTGGCGCCCCCAATATGGCCATCTCATTTAATGATAGGTTCAACCTCTAGATTTTCTGAATCTCTCACTCTAGATGCCATCACCCCCCCCCCCCCCCAGCCCCCTCGTTCATTTCCCTTCACAAGGACAAAGAGTTTTGTTTTTAGGTTCTTTTTGCCCTTTTCTCTCTCTTCTCCTCTCGTTTGCTTTATTTTCAAAACAGTACAAACAGCTGCATGAATAAGGATCAGTCATGGAGTGAAGAGGTGAACAGTACTGTCAAAAACAAAAACAACCCTTTTGTAGCTTATTGCTAGCTAGAACTAGGGTTCATTTCAGAGAAGAAGCTGATCGTTGCTTTTGGTGAAGATGGAATGGGGTATTGGATTATTATTCAGTGTGTTGATGGGTATTTTTGTAGGGTGGTTTTGGTACAATAACAACAAGAAGATGAAGAGAGAAGTGGAAAAGAAGGGTGGGGTTCCAAAAGGGAGCTTAGGTTGGCCTTTCATAGGAGAAACTCTTGATTTCATTGCTTGTGGTTACACCTCTCGACCTGCCAGTTTCATGGACAAACGCAAATTTCTGTAAGATTTTTTTTCTCTAACCCACTGTTCATGTTTTCCTTTTAGGATTGTCTTCTTCTTGGCGACTTGTTTCTCCACGGCTTCTTTTCAATTTTGGATGTACATATCTATATTTCTTTTCCAAACAATTGGAAATTAAATTCTAGAGGCCTACAGCCATTGTTGTTGTGCCTGGCTCTTAATTGTTTTTCTTTCAAATTTTTTATGCTTTATATTATTATTGGTTTGGCAAACTTGCTTTTCTCTTCGATGCTAGAACCCTAGTTAGATTTACAAATCATTGCTCCACCATCATCACGTACTTTTTTTATTATTTTATGATTTAAATAAAGGAAAAATTATCAATTTCTTATTATTTTATGTAAAAATATTGCAAATTATACACCGAATAAAGTTTTAGTTGTTCCCAAATGTTTTACATGCATAGCATTAATTTCTTAGATTGGAGTTAGTGGTCCTCTGATTATTATTAGAATAAAATAAGTTTTTATATTAAAAGACTCTCATCTATCAAATCATATACCATGCAATGCCAAACTAAAACATAAACTTGTAGGGTAACAATTTAAAATTTTATTTTATTTATTTCTTTTTGTTGACATTATTATGAGATTTGCAATTAGCATGGAATAGTGGCTTTCAATATTTATTATATCTTGTTCCAAGGAAAAGAAAAATCTACCCTTTGATGATATCTTCCTGTAAGATATGACAATATCAATAATATAAAGAACCCTTTATATAAGTATGCAAAAACTTGTTAATTTTTTAGACTGCTATTGGTATTGTAACTTGTCATTTCATTAAAAAAAATGTTTTTGAAAAAATTATTAATAGAACTAGTTATAAATTCCTCCTTGATTATTTAGCATTTAAAAGTTTCATAGCTCAAGTGAACACTTCAATTATTTCACATTCTTGGCTTAGGCATTGGGAACATTGCCTCAATGAGTAGGCCCCAAATTCTCCTTATAAAATTATTTTTAAAATATATAAATGTAACATCATATACTACAATATTTTATTGTTTGCCTAGAAATTGTTTACATTAAATGATATGTCTCATAAAGAACTTTTTCATTAATGAGCTATGACAGCTATCTACTCGAATTGCCTCCCTAGCTTCAAAATAGACGGTGACATTAGCTAAAAAGTAGGAGTGAAATTGAATTTAGATAAAAACCATTAAAGCTTTGTGAGTACGAACTATGCCAATTGCCATTCTAGAGGGGTTGCAGGCGCTAACATTAGCCCCTATACTCCATCGTTGTCAGCTTTCCAATGAAACCACCGTTTCCTGCCCAATTTTCTTCTATCTTCCTCTGTGCTCTGGACTTTCATCAATGAAGCTGAACAATAAGACAAAGCAATGAAAGAAGTCTTTCCACTTCCCTGCAGCATTGGCTATCTTTGCTTACATATTATTTTATTCTCTTTCCAGGCATGGGAAGGTGTTCAAAACACACATATTGGGAACACCCATCATTGTTTCCACAGATCCCGAGGTGAACAAGGTGGTTTTACAGAACCATGGCAACATCTTTATCCCTGCTTATCCCAAATCTATCCGAGAGTTACTTGGCCAGCATTCCATACTTCAAATGAATGGTAATCTTCAGAAGAGAGTTCATGCACTCATTGGAGGTTTCTTGAGATCCCCTCAGCTCAAATCCCGTATCACAAGACACATTGAAAATTCTGTTAAACTAACTTTGAGTTCTTGGCAAGACATGCAGCTGATACATGTTCAAGAAGAAACCAAAAAGGTCAATTCAAAATATACTACTAATTCCAAATAATGATGATACTATATAATTGGCTCTAACGTAGCTGATTTCTGGTTCATGAACATGTCAGATTACATTCGAAGTGTTGGTAAAAGTTTTAATGAGTATTGGTCCTGGTGAAGATTTGAACTTTCTGAAGAAAGAATTTGAAGAATTCATCAAAGGTTTAATTTGCTTGCCTATCAAGTTTCCAGGAACAAGACTATATAAATCTCTGAAGGTGAGAATGTTATATGTATATTTACTAATGCAAACAAATTGAAAAAGAAGAAACTTCAAGAAATGCACTTGGAAAGCTATCTTAGCATAATAAATTTCTCATTTAGGTCCAAATATATAGATTCTTGAAACATTATTCTTATGATAGCATGCAAGAACAAGATTGCACTTCAAAAAATTTTTAAACACATATGAACCAAAAATAAAAAAGATACAAGTGAGGGTAATTTAATTTATCAAGTGATTGTATGTAAAATGATATTAAATGAATGTTAATGTAAATATCTATAAGCATCAATCATCTTTTTATGAAAAAATCACTTGAGTGAAGAATCATTATTTTTGTAATGAAGTATATCATGTCCAAAAGATAAGATTTTTGAATTTTCAACAAAAATAAAAATTTGAATGCTTGAATCGCGTCATTTGAATCAAGCAAATTTTTAGATAGATTAATTTTAAACTTGATCATTCAAATTCTCTGCAAATGGTATTTGAATTTTTCTTTCTTATTTGTTATTTCAAAACAATTTGTTTAACTTTCAAGCATCATTATTTAATATTTGTACATAGTAGGCTATAATAAATTTTGTTTTCATAAAAATCATTTAAAAACACTAACATTCTTTCATTAGTATATATGCAACAAAGAATATTTTAGCAGTTATCTTCTCTTTGTTAACCATTTTTGGAGGGTTTCAAGAAGTTTTTGATTTGTTCATTGTAGGCCAAAGAGAGGATACTGAAAATGGTGAAAAAGATTGTGGAGGAGAGAAAATTAGCTACGGGGAAAACAGACGAAAAGAGTAATGCCAATGATGCAGTGGACGTGCTGTTACGTGACAGTGAAAATGCAAACGACAAGCAATCTCTGCCGTTCGACTTCATCAGTGGGAACATAATAGAGATGATGATCCCTGGAGAAGAGACGGTTCCCATGGCAATGACCCTAGCTGTCAAATTCCTCACTGACTGTCCTGTTGCACTCCACCAGTTGATGGTACGTAACATAACCAAAATAATAATAATAATAATAAACGGCTAGGATTATTTTGATTTCATCTGCAAAATGGGTCCCAAAGCCAACTGTTTGACTTTTTTTGAATTTTTCCTTGGCAAAAGAAAAAGTCTCCCTCAATGTTTCATTAGACACACGAGCACATAAGCGTGCAAGACAGATTGTACGTGTAGAGGGCCCCACATTGTGTCCAAAAACAGACCACACGATTTTTCCTCCTATTGATCAGTTTTTCAATGTAGAGAGTCCCCAAGAAAATTAGGTACAAGTT